GGCGAATCGGATTCGCCTGTCGATGCAATGATTGCTGAGGCTTCCGAGAAAAAACCGTTTGACGGTGCTGACCTTTCGACGGAAAAACAGATTGAGCCGGTAACCGGTTTTGGATTTTTTTTTTCTATTTTTCGTAAATCGTTTATTGTAATTTTGCGTTGTTTGTTTGCGATTGTCACGTGTTTGTAATTTTGGCTAGGTCACTGACAATGTTGATCTGCCTGACGAAAAGGCGAAAAGGAAAAAGGAAATTGAGGAGAAGTTGCACGGCTTGAATGAGAATAAACATAACCTGGTGTTGGTATTGAAGCAGGTAAATGATACTGCATAACTGACACTAGTTTGTATCGACGTATTGATCTTCCTTTATTTCCGTCTGATATAGAATATGTTTTGAAAGTCTGAGACTTTTAATTGTTGAATGATAAAATGTCTGAAATGTTTTTTTTTTGTGTGCAGAGGGTTTGGTATTAATTAGCGAAGGTGTTATTTGTTTTGGTTTTTGTTGTGTTTATGTCCATGTCTTTTCCTGCAATGTCAAGTGTCATGTTGAAACCCTAGTCAAAATTCAAAACCATGATTGTGTCTGTGTGTATCCCTTGCATGTTGTGAATGATAATTTGGTCTTGGCAGATATTGAATGCGGAGGAGGAGTTTAAGAGACGAAATAGTATGCAAATGGCTGGGATGCGTGGTCCTTCGGGTCCAGTTCAAGGGGATGGAACCAACGATACTGGATCCATGATTAGGCACATGCCCCCTAGATTGGGATCGGAGGGAAATCTTGCTGGTGATGTGGATGGTGGTGACGGGGATGATTTAGCTAACCATACCATGCATTCTCGCCACATACTTCGGCCAAGTAGCATGTCACCTTCGTCAGAATCTCCTCTTCGGAGGACCCCTAGTGTTCAACAAAATGCGGTAACGTATATTAGCTATTTCAGTTAATTCATGTTGTTGATGTGCTTCGGATTGTATAACTGTCTTGTGGTTGGATCTATGATCTGTTTTGGTGGAATGAATCTGTGATTAATTATATATGTTATAGAGTGCATGTAGGAGTAGGACGGTCAAGAATGGCATGCTAGTTCGAGTTATATGTGCTTGAAATTTTGATATTAGTTTGCGGAAGTAAGTTATTCCTTTGTTTGGTTATTTTGCAATAAAGCAGCGGGAAAAAAAATGGGTCCATACTTACTAAATTGCAATGCATTCCATTCTTTCAATTTTAAACAATCCAAACAATAGAATCTAATACCATTACTTCCAGCTCACTTCATTTCATCATTCTAACATAGCGTAACTAAAGCCAAATTATAACGGAACCTTGAATGTTGCGCACTTGAACTAGCCTCATTGCACTAGTTACTGACTCAGTTTTGAGAAGGGTTGAATCAAGTAAATATTAGGTTGAACCTAATTTGTTGAATTTTATAAACTGCAATTTACAGATTTTAAATTGAATTTAGGGTCTTGTTTCATGTACTTTGTTGTTCGATACTTTTTATGGTTATGATTCTAAGAACTAGCTTGTATTTGTATTGAATATAATCGTACACTTGCAATCTTGTAGAGTCTAGGCTGCATTCATGTCACTCTTTTTCTTAACTCTTCAATCTATTCTTTCTCTCTGTTTTAGCTAATTACTTAGATTATCTATAATGCAAGAGTCTTATAAAAAACCAATAAGGTTCTTAATAGCTTGATGTATGCATACACATATATGTTCTGCAAATGAGATAAATTATGCTTTAGTAGTTATGCTGTGTTAAGAAGCTGAATATACGAGTAAAGGTCAAGCCCGAATCCATAAGTAGAATACTTCCTTGAATTGCCCTGTTTTCTTTTGACGTACTTAGTTGTTACCTTTTCTATGAAGATTTCGAATCCTTCTCGAGCAAATTTTGGAGCTGCTGGAAGTCCATCACGCTTTGCTCTCTCAGGTCATCAGGGAAATCCAGCGAATCTACCACAAGTGTCAGTGTCAGGAACTAGTTACATTGCATCATCCCCTTCCCCAGCGGCATCTGGTGGCACTTCTGTTTTCAGAGATGCTCGACAGCCAAGTCCTTGGAAGTAGAAGGTTTTGGTTTTTATCATTGGTCATATGTTATCAATCGAAATTTCTATACTCTGATTTTATGTATATAATTTTCTTAATGAGTAATGATAAGAAGACCTCTGTTTCTGTGCGGAGAATTCTATGCATTTTTTTTTAACTGCCTAGCAGGCTGGTTCTTTATCTTGCTGTTTCTCGAGCAGGATTTTCTAGTCATAATCTACTTGTCCTCTAAAAAACATTGAAACATGAATGTTGCTGACTTGTCATACAGGTTTAGGTTGTCATTAGGAACATTGCTGAAATATCTGGGTTTATGGTAGTTATTTCTTGGCACTCCTTTTTTCGTTCAATTGACCCTTTTTTGGTTTTGGAACAAAGTTGTTTTTTCATTAAATAAAGGTATACATTTTATAATAAATAAATTATAGTTTTGTCGATTTCCATTCTTTGTTGTTTCCAAGCTTTTAAAATATTATTTTCTATTCAATTAATTGAGAATTTATGATCCATTTGATAAGTGAAATGATTTAAAAGCTCAATAGTCATAAATTAGTGAGTGAAATATTTTTTTAGTTTTTGAACTTTAATAGAAAATTAGAATTCGTTTATGTTGGAAACTTTGACACATTTTAGTTTTTAAACTTTAAAAATAAATTAATATAGTCTTTCTAATCTAATTATGTTAAAAAACATTATGTGGCAAACTTGTTTTAGGTTAACATTTAAATTGCTTCTAATGTTTGATACGTTCTTGTTTTAATGTTAGTTGGAAATGTGTGTTAAAAATTTAATGTAATTGGCAAGAAATTGATGATTGAGAGGGTTGTTTAACTATTGAGGTGAGTTTCAAAGAGTGTTTGTGGGGGTGGGTTAAATTGGTAATTGTAAGGTTGGGGTGGTGGTTGAAATATTGGAAGGGAAATTGATTGTGATAGAGGGGTCATGATTAGATCAAGGAGCTACAAAATATTCTTTTGCATTTGATCAACAAGGGTATTCTTGTTTGCGTCATTTCTTGAACTTGTTGGTCCTCATGGTTTGTGTTGCACTTCACTTTTCCGTTTGTTTATAAACACCAAATTGATCGGATAGAATGGTAGACTTTGAAGCCGTGATCGTCTAGGCACCTCCTCATCGTCAAACAGATGATTTGAGATCAAAAACTCTTAAAGAGAAGGTAGAGAACTCTAGAAAAGTAATTTCTAGAGAGATGATACGTTTTAAAATAATAAAATTTATTTATAACAAAACTATTTATAATAAAACTGTTTAATATTAAAATAATCGAGTCTCACTATTTTTATACTATCACCGCTTCTAAAATATAATTTCCTGAGATTTTACCGTACATGTTATATATTTATATATATATATATATATATATATATATATATATGGGTTTGCTAACGCGCACGCTTAATTTTAAGTTGGTACATTTTAGCAATGTGTACCGCGTTTTAGTAGACAAAAATATCTTTATATATGATGGACTCTAAATCTTAAAATTAAGGATATTTTAATAATTTTCATTCTCAAAACTAAAAAATTGACATTAAATATCCTTATATATATAATTTTTCTTTGTCCACGTTTTAAAAATTATCCTTAACGTAGTTATGTTTTAAAATTTAACCGTTTTCTTATATTTAATTATTTATTAAATTAAATAAATAAAAATTATGTACAGTTAAATTTCAAAAATTATTTATATTTATTTTCGTAATTATATTTCTATTACTTTTTTATCATAAAAAATAAATACAGATATAAAAATATTCCTTTTTTGTCCATATTTATTTTCTAAATTTATCATTTAAATTAATTTTTAAATTAAAATAAAAAAGAAATTCTTCTTTTTAGTGTCCTCCTTTGTATTTCAAATTTATCTTTTAAATAAAAGTTTGTTAATCTATACCTATATATTCTTTTTTTATCCACATTTGTTTTTTAAATTAAAATAAAAAATAAATTCTTTTTTTGTCCACGTTTTCTAAATTTACCTTTTTAAATAATATAGTTTTTTTAAATTAAGATAAGTATATCATCAATTTTACCGTTTTTCAAATTTAGCTTTTTTTTAGTTGATGGTTTTTCTAAACTTAACCATATTTTAATTATAAAACTATTACTAAAGAAAATAAAAGGTATTTATAATAAAATTACAAAAATCATTTACATTTAATTTCATAATTAATTTAATTTCATAATTAATAATAACAATAATAATACAATAATAATTTTATGATTTTTCATAAATATAAAAAAGTGAACTTACATTTCATTAGTATATATAAAAAGAGATTTTACATTTTTATGTTTACATTTGTTTTTCAATTTTACTATTTAAATAAAAAAAATTAAATTAAAATAAATATTTTATGAATTTTACACTAACAGTTTTGTTTAGATTTAACCGATATGTTTTAGTTTGACCATTTTTAAAATTAACCATTTTTCATTATAAAACTACCTAAAAATGAATAAAAATATTTACAATAAAGTTTTGATAATTATTTATATTTAAGTTTATAATTATAACAATATATAAGAATATATATCTTCATATATATATATATATATATATATATATATATATATATAGTTGTACACGAATATTGTTAAAAAATTATGTGATATTTGTATTTAACTAATAAATAATTATTTATTTATTTAGGTTAAAACTGTCAAATTAAAAGATGAACTAAAGGAATCAACTATAATAATGATGAAATGATAATTTTCTAAAAATAATATTAACAAATTATGTGATCGTTATTTTCAAAAATAGAAATCATTTATTTATTTTAAAATAAAAAAGTATTCAATTACTTATTTCTTAATAAAAATTAAATTGACATTTATTAAAGAGTAAAGTTATCAAATTAAAAAAAAAATTATATCAAAGGAAGTTATGAAATGATGTGTAATTTTATATAAGAATATAGATGTTATAATAAAGAGTGGGAGTCCATTTAAATAACTGAAATGAATTTCTCTTTCTGTTATGAACTCAAATTAAAGAGTCATAAGTGCACATTAATATATAGAAATAATATTCTATCTCTAGAAATATGTGTACTACATTTATTGTATTCTTTATTTTCTTCTCTCTCATCTTTATTACTAGTAAAGTAAATAAGAGGTTTAATATGACAAATATTTATTTTGTTTTTAATATAATAAGAAAAAAAATTAAAATCTTAAAACAAAATTTTTATTTTTATTAATTTTTTATTTAAACATTGTTATTAAAGTAATTTAATATGTGTTTGACTTTTAACAATTATTATATTTGTTCATTAAAACAAAATTTAATATGTGTAAGGTTTTTTTACTTTATTAATTTTGACATGAAACTAACATTTGTTGTTAAAAGTTTTATATATTTTGATTATAAACTTAAAAAAAATTAATGTAGTGTTATTAATTCAAGTATATTAAATTATTTTAGCAGTTTGCAACTAATAAAAATAAAACACTGCAAGATATTTAAAATAAAACATATTAATAGAATTAATACAGCGATATCCAAAAAGTAAATAATTATAAAAATATATATAAAACATCTAAAGATAACTTAGAATTTATAAAACTCCTATACATGCTAATTATCACAAAACGAAAAAATAAAAAAGTTTGGTCATCATCATCTTCCACCATAGGCGCATTAACATTTACCCTTCATCCAATCACACCAATAAGATAATTATTGTAAAGTTAAAAAACACATACACAAAATAACATAAAAGAAAGTGTAATATAATAAATTATATCGATTATAAACTAAGCATGCATAAAAATATAATAAATTATATATATTCATACAAACACTTGACATTAAACTCAATTATTCAGATACATGTTTTTGATATAAAGTTTTCTCGTAGGTAGGAATGACAAAAATACTTGTGCTCGCAGGTAGTTGAAGATAAAATTCACGATGGATAGTTGGTATTCGCGGATAGCGAATATTTTAATACTCGTTTATAAACCGGACGAGTGAAGATTTTATTAAGTTAAATTTAATTAAAATTAAAATTAATTTATATTTTATTAGTTTAAATTTCATTCAAATTAAATGAAATTTTAATTTATATTATATTTTTTTGTAATTTTATTTAAATTTTATTCTTAAAGTTTATAAAATATATTTTTAAATATTTGTGGGGTATCCACATGTATATGCATGTTTTAAAATACTCATGAGTATTTTTTTATACGAGTATCCACGTAGGTAGAGGACGGGTAACATGTGGATTTTTTTGTTGCGGGTCAAGTAACAGGTAAGCACTATTTATGTCTGACCCAACCCGTTGTTATTTATACTCATAAGCGTGCACTTGTAGTAGTATATGCTTTGGAAAGTCATAAACAAGGGATTATCACCCTACCACTTACAAGGGTAGTCCCCTTTCGCACCTAGGATCAAACATTTTTCGTAGACTAAAACCTTTTGCGACTCTCACCACATAACTCATTTTATTATATTTATGTGTGAATAATTATTAGAGTTCCGGATACATCCGTTCTGACTCTCATATGTCAATGCATACATTAATATCATCATTACAAAGAATTTCTCCTTGAAATTTTTTCAACATCATCACCATGCATATCCACAAAAATAACATCATCTCAATAAGTCATCATAATACTCATAAACATACATAAATTCCATTATAAATCTATCTCAAATAGTCAAACAAGAAAATAGATCCAAACATACACAATGACGCTCAAAGGTGGAGTCCAACGTCATACCTTTCACAAAAGGTGGTGCCTAATGTCACTCATGGCGCTCAACACCACTCTTTTCGCAAAAAGGTATGCTTAGCTACACTTTCTAACGCCTAGTGTCTTGGAGTGAAAAAGCTTCAGACATATAATACAAGAATGACGCACAATGATACCTTAACACCACTCAATGTTCAACCCTTCACAAAATTGGAGACTTAATGACATCCTAGAGTCACTCAACGTTATACCAACTATCAACACTTGTATTTTTTGTGTTTTTAAGGGAACTTATACCTATTCAATTGATCAAAATGACATTCCTTTCTTAGTGAATTAGTTCCAAAACAGTTTTAAACATGAAAACTTGCACCACTTGATCAATTGTCCAGATCATAAATCTCTTAAACTCACAAAACCAAGTCCAAACTATTAAGATTCAAGGATCAATAATTCAAACCACAATTTCAACATATCATACATACCAACACATCAATCATTAGTCAATTAACCATACAATCATATATTCAAAAATTTTAAAGTATCTATAACTTAAAAACAATGCAATTAACTTCCCTTACTTGAGAGACAAATGAACTTGCTTTAAAGAATCCCAAATCCCTTCCAGCTCATAGAATCTAGAAACAACACAAACGCGATAAGGACAACTATTAGAACCACTAATAAGAAAATACTCACATAGATGACTATAAAGACGCATATAAGTGAAAGAAGGTCCACATTCAACAGATAATAGGAAAAGACCAAGAAAAGGGGTTGAAACTCAACTTATACAAATGAAGAAGTTGATATGTCCAAATTGAAAAACTCGCTGGAAGAATCAATACTATGAAGAACTCTAAAAAAGTAGTTCCTAGAATCATGGTATGTTTTAAAAATATAAGTCTCATCCATAACAAAATTATTTATATTAAAATCCTTTTATATTAAAATAGTTGTGTCTCAATATTTTTAAGTCATTGTCACTTCTAAAATTCATTTTCTAGGTCTTTATTGGCAACGATTTTAACATGTAAAAAAAAATAAAGTTTTTATATCCATTCATTTTTAAAGTTTGAGGACCAAAATGTATCAAAATTTTAGACAATTATAAATTTTAGTTTCTCATCAAAATTAAAAACTAGAAACATGCTTCATTCTATAATTAACTTTGAGTATTAGAGTATTAGAGTTGATATGTGTTTTAAAATAACGAGATCGAGTATGTTAGTTTTAAAGTAATTCAATAATATAAATAGAATTTATTAAACTCGTATCATTACTTAAAACACAAACCATCCCTCTAAAACTCGTTCCTTGAGTTTCTCCACATTCTCTTTAAGAAATCTAACTCCTCAATCATATGTTTGACTATTAGAACATGTTGAGGAGATCACAACAGAGTAATCTCCATTCCTATCCGATTAATTTCTGGTTAAGAGTAAGTAAGTTTCTACCCCTTTTTCCTTTTAGCTTTATGTCCATGATCATGCATAAGAACCCCTTTGCATGTGTCATTGGTCTTCTATTCCTGGTTCTTTGTCAATTTGAGGTTTTAATGACTTATTCTGATCACGATTCGGTGATTTGTAGGCATTTCTAGGATTCCTTGCGGTTGAAGCAAATGTTAGAAGTTCTTAGAGTTGTAGTAGTTCCCTTTGAGGTAAAAGAAGCTAGTTCCTATTTCATGTTAAATTATAAAGTATGAATTGATAACATTAGGATGTGTAGTTGGTAAATATTGAATGTTTATGATTGAAGTGTTATTGTTGTTGAGTAAGTGAATTTGATTACATGATGATTGCTGATGCATAATGATTTCATATTAAGTTCAAAGTGTATGATGAATGATGGTGTTTAGTTGTTTTGGTTGTGTTGTATGTGGTTAAAAATGGAGGAGAATGAAACTAGGTGGAGTAGTAGGTGTTTTTGGTCAAAATATGGAGTTTTGGTATGTGAGTTTTTGAGCTAAAGGTTAAAAATAACGAATTCAGTCTTAGAATCTGTTTATAAGGAAATTAAAACTTGTTAGAGTTGTTAATTAATTGAAATCTGGTCTAGATAGAGTTAGTAGTATTTTAATGGTGTTTTGGTTGGTTTTAAAGTACATTTTGGGGTTTGGACTAATGAAATTTTGAATCAAGGTTATGTGTTCAAATGGAAGGTTTGAGGTGTGTTGGTAAGTCATTTTTGACTTGTTAGAGTCCTTAAGTTACTTTAAAATGGGCTAGAACTTGTAGAATTCAATTTTAGTCTCAAACGAAAGATTTTAGATGTTTTTAAGTGAACTCTTATGGTAAAATAATTTGATAACTAGTTTAAGTTAGGTAAAATACTTTTGTTTAGGTCTATAATAGTTTATAATCCAATCTAGGAGTGTTAGAAGTTGGTCAAAATTATTAGAATAGGTCATCGGCGGTTTAGGACTGTTAGTTATGCAGTTTTGGCGCTGCAAAATTGTGTAGTGAGGTCGACCGAGCAAAATGGGCTCGTTAGGCGAGTTGAGGAGAGTTCTGACAGTGAGTTCAGAGGCTAAGCAAGCCATCTCGCTCAACTTGGGGAGTTTGCTATTTTGGAACTCGTTGGACAGGTATTTGAGGTGTTTGACAGAGAGTTGTAGAGGTTAAGCGAGCCAACTCGCTTAGCTTGGGAGGCTTGCTGTTTTGCCTCTCGTTGGGTGAGCATAGGCTATTTGTTGGGCGAGTGGTTTGAGTTCTTGGGTGTTTATGAATTCTTTCTTTTATGTGTATGATTTTAAAAAAGCTATCATGGTTTGTTATATGATTTGTGGTAAGGTTTGGAACATATGTTCGAATGGAATTAGGTGTGTAAGAGTTCTAGGGAGAATTCTTAATGGTTGTATCAAAGTATTGTTGGTATGAATGCATGAAGCTTAGTCTTGGGGTTATCTTGACACTCTAATGATTATTCTCAAGTATAGATGATAGATTCATGTGGTGAGAGTAGCATGAGGTCTTAGTCTAGTGCTTCTAGTATGACCTAAGATATGGTACAAACTAACCTTGTAAGTGTGGTAGGGTGAAACCCATTGACAATGACTTTGCAGAGTAGTAGAGACCACCACAAGTGCACAACCTGCCATAGCTCGACATTCATACTAAATCTAGTCCAGTCTAGGTTTTGGCATAATTAAGATGTTTGGATTATTGTATGTGAAATATGACTCACGTATTAAATGTTAATGCATATTATAATTTGTTTTGTATAACTAGCTTACCCTGTTTGTTTTTGTCTTGTTGGGACGTTCTTATGTGTTGTCTGTCTTAACGATGATCATCTAGTGAGTGTGAGAAGAAGGTGATCATGTGATACTAGAACAAGCGTTAGGTGAAGTTGACCTAGAGACTTAGAAATTTTAGTGCTTTTATCCTTATTATTTATGTTTTAGCTTTGATGGTCTAGATACAATTTTTGTGTATAATTTTGATTTCAGTACTTCGCATGTAAATTTTGTTAAATTTTGTTTTTATAATTATGTTAAATAATTATAAATTAACTTTATATTTTTGGGATTAATAGGTCTACTTTATCGTTTTAATACTATATAATTTAGATGTTATATTATAAATTTATTATTATTATTAATTTTTTTTAATAAACTTGTATAATAATAATGATAAATAAAAGTTCAATTACCATAATTGTTAATAAAAATTAAATGAAATCAAAATATTAGATATGTGATTCTTTAATTATATTAAAACCAAATTTATAACTATTTATCTTTATTATTATGTAAAAGATATTGGAAATACTTATTTCTTATTTTTCATCACGTTATTGGAATAATAATCATATGACAATATAATAATAATAGTAAAAATTTTAATTAATATACATATTTCCTTTTGTAAATTATTTTGAATCTCTGTCAAAATAAATTACTTTTTAGTTTATGTTTATACTAACGGAAGATCTAAATAAAATAATAATGAATTATCCCAATATTCCATAAAAATTAAACAGAAAAATATATTTCTAAAAAGTAGTTAATTCTTAAAAGATAATATTAAATTATAACTTACTTAAATAATGTATAATACAAATTTCCTTATTTTGAGTATATATTCCATATTAATATTTACACTTAATTATATTTTAATATTGTAATATTTTAAACATAATAATTATCTTAAGAAAAGTCAAAAAAGAAGAATAGATGTATAATTTCATGAAATGTAAAAGTTATTTTACTTTTTTTTATATCTTCTATCTTTATTTTTAATATATTAATATAAAGAAGAAATAATTACAATAATTAGGAATATATGTAAAGAGAGAAATAATATACATACATATTTCATTAATTTAAGTTATTAATTAAAATAAAATAAAATGATAAAATTGAAATTAATTCATTCAACTTATTCTTGAGTTACTAAACCAAGTGTAACGATATTATTGTAACTGAATAGTATTTTAGAAATATAACTGAAAGTAGTCCATGTAATTATTCTCATATCTTAATAGTTATTAATTAATGTTGAAGTAAGTTTAAAATTACAGAATACTCCGTGTTTAGAGTTTTTTAATCTAATTTTCAGTTTTAAGGTTCATTTAAATTTTTGAAACAGAACCAGAAATAATTTCTTTAAAACATTAATATTAACTTAGATTAAACAATTAATTTACACACCAAATATTTTATCATTTGTTCCTTAAATAATCATATAAAGAACAACAATTTGATACAGAAAAATTCGTCTCATGTGACACAAAAGCAAAAGGATCCGTTGGCAAGAAAGTTTAATGGTGAGTGGGCCAGCCTCGGCCACTTCAACGAAATTTCAATTCCACTATTATTATTTTCCTAATTTTCCTTTCAAAACTTCAAACCGTTGCCGTTTCTTATTTAATTTTTTGCATTTTTCTATTATTCCATAAAGTCGGTCACCTCCTCCTTCTCTCACGTCTCTGTTCTCTTCTCCATAACTGAGGGGAGAGAGAAACAGCGTTTGAAGAATCTTCGCAAAAAAGAAAAGTAAACAGAGCAACATGAAGCGAAACCTTCAAACGTTGTTTATGTTAACACGAAAGCGATCGATTCAGTTTCTAATCGGTGCGTTTTTCTTCTACCTCGTACTCGTCACACTCGAAATCCCTCTCGTTTTCAAAACCGACTTCACCACCGTCGCCACGCGCACCCACAAGCTCCTCAGCGAGGAGGACTCGCTACTGAAGGATTCCCCGGCGCGTCCTTTGAAAACGGTTTCCAACGCTGACTCGCCGAGTCAACTCGCTCGCCGCAGCGTTATTTCGGGGCTGGTCTTGAACGACGCCGTGTTCGAATCCAACGGCAACGACGGGTCGTTGGAGCTCTACAAGCTCGTAAAGCATGCACGCCAGATGGGACGGAGACTCTGGGCGGACCTTGAATCTGGAAATTTGCGGACCGTTGTGTCGAAGCCCGAGAACCGGTCCAGTTCGTGTCCCGGTTCGGTTTCTCTGTCAGGTAAGGATGCATTGGGCGTCGTGCCGCTGCCGTGTGGGCTCACATTGGGGTCACACGTGACGATCGTTGGGAAGCCGTTGGCGGCGCGGCCGGATTTCGAGTCGAATATAGCGGTTGTGAAGGAGAATGAACCGGTGATGGTGTCACAGTTCGTGGTGGAGTTGCAGGGGCTGAAGACGGTGGACGGTGAAGAGCCTCCTAGGGTTTTTCACTTCAATCCGAGGTTGATGGGGGATTGGAGTGGGAAGCCTGTGATTGAACTCAACACATGCTATCGCATGCAATGGGGTTCCGCTCTCAGGTGCGACGGTTGGAAATCCAAGGCCGATGATGATACCGGTGAGTTTCGAAACTGAAATCACATTACTTTTTTTGCCTGTTTGGAAGTTTGATTTCACGTGATTAATTTGGAATTGGTTGATTAGGAACTGTTTTACGATGTGGAAGTTTACTAGTCATTTTAATGTGTTCTCAGTTATATGGTTCTCTTTGATCTTTGCTTTGGTTTTGTTTCTGAATATTTACTTTTTTTTCGTTCTTTGGATTGGAGAAACTGTTTAGAACGTAATGAAATTTTTTAACGCTATTCAACCACAAATGTCATCCAAAGATGATTCATTAGATGTCTGATTTTCTGCCCAATTAAAAGTGTAATTTTCTTGAAGAAATTTGTGACTTGTGTGGTGAGGCTGCTTGTGTCTGGTTGTGGTGGTTGATTGAATTGAATTGAGTTATTGCTTACATTGGGTGCAGTTGATAGGATGGTGAAGTGCGAGAAGTGGATTAGAGATGATGAACAGCACTTAGAGGAGTCTAAGTCGACGTGGTGGTTGAAAAGACTTATAGGGCGCACCAAGAAAGTAAACGTTGACTGGCCATTCCCATTTTCTGAGGGGAAGCTTTTTGTTCTTACTATTAGTGCTGGGTTGGAGGGGTATCATGTTACCGTTGATGGGAGACATGTAGCATCTTTTCCTTATCGTGCTGTAAGTGATATATCTATCGCCTTGATGTTAACTACCTGGACTTGAAGATTGATTTGCTTAATCACTTGATTTTGCATTTTGATTTTGGCAGGGTTTTACTCTTGAGGATGCCACTGGGCTTTCGTTGGCTGGAGACATTGATGTTCACTCTGTATTTGCAGCGTCTTTGCCTTCATCGCATCCCAGTTTTTCCCCACAGCGGCATCTTGAATTTTCCACCAGGTGGCGTGCCCAGCCACTTCCTGACTCTGGCGTAGAATTGTTTGTTGGTGTCCTCTCAGCTGGAAACCATTTTTCTGAGCGGATGGCTGTGAGGAAGTCATGGATGCAGCATAGGCTTGTCAAATCTGGAGCAGTGGTTGCTCGATTCTTTGTTGCACTGGTTGGTTTTTGTTTTTGAAGTTGTTATTTCGTTTCTGATGTTCAGCTGGCGTTTCTTTCTTACTATTTTATTGAAATCTTGGCAGCATGCAAGACATGAAATTAATGTAGAGTTGAAGAAGGAAGCAGAATTTTTTGGTGATATTGTTATAGTGCCCTACTTAGATAACTATGATCTTGTTGTCTTGAAAACAGTGGCCATTTGTGAATATGGGGTGAGTTATTGATTAACTATAATCATGCTATGAACTACCAATTTTCGAGTGATATTTAAGATTTTTTTATGGAATATAAGATGTGGTCTATTGTTCACAGGTTCATACGGTTTCTGCTAAGTATATCATGAAAGGGGATGATGATACTTTTGTTCGAGTGGATGCTGTTATCAGTGAAGCAAGGAAGGTTCCAGATGATACCAGTTTTTATATCGGTAACATAAATTACTATCATAAACCCTTGCGATATGGGAAATGGGCAGTGACATATGAAGTAAGTAATGAGCATCCATCGAAATGCTTTTGTTCAAACCTTAAAAATTCTGAATGAGAATACTCTTGAAATAATGATTATTTTAGTAATGTCTATTTTAATCCAAAGAAGGCCTGAAGTTACCCTGTTTTCTTAGTTCCAAATTGCAGTTGCACCCTCGGTCGGCTGTGTGAATTTATGAACTGTGTATCGTGGTCCTTAAGTGTGTTTTGTCATACTGTTGTGACTGATTTAACTAGGAAGTTGCAGGAAAAATATTGGTGTGTTAAAATATTGATGGTTTTGTTTCTTTTATTTTTCCAGGAATGGCCAGAAGAGGATTACCCACCCTATGCTAATGGCCCGGGTTATATTTTGTCATCAGATATTGCACGATATATTGTATCTGAATTTGAAATGCATAAACTAAGGGTTAGTAAACATTATTTACATTGCGCTTTTTTCTGTGTTCATCCTTACCTTAATGAGTGAATTCCTTTCATTTGAAACTCTGGCTGAATGTGTGATTTGCTCTTTATGCAGTTGTTTAAGATGGAAGATGTGAGTATGGGAATGTGGGTAGAGCAATTTAACCGCTCAAAACCTGTACACTATTCTCATAGCTTGAACTTCTGCCAATTTGGTTGCATAGAAGACTATTACACAGCCCATTACCAATCGCCTAGGCAGATGATGTGTCTGTGGGATAAACTGCAAAGGGAGACAAGGCCTCAGTGCTGTGACATGAGATGACAAAAGAGACATAGGTTCTGATCTTTGATTCCGTTAGAAGGACAGAGAAAACAAGTTTTGAAGTGAAGCCATATACCATCTCGAATATTGTATATAACTCTGGAGCTTGGTTAGTTAAACATCGCCCTGTATAAAATGGCCTTTTTTATTCTCAGTTTATAATATTATTGGTTTTCTTGTTCTTTTCTCACACCCTTTTTGGGGTCCTCAATTCTTTTGGCTCGGCATTGGGATTGGAATTGGATCATGATGATGATGATGTTACAAGTTCTGTAAAATCATTTGAGGGATAGAAAATATAGATCAATTATTATACCAAGCTGGTGCTTTTTGCCTGTCCTCAGTCTATTTTTGTTTTCAACTTTCCACTCCACCGCTATTTTAACCTGGTTTGCTTTATTGGGTAAAATCCCTCCCAAGTTGCCTATTTTTTCTCACAATTTTAGTTATTGAATAATTCTTACGAAATTTTGATTCTTTAGTTTTTAATTATTTGTAATTTTTTTTATTTTAGATGTGATGCAGTACAAAAATGTATGACATTGGAATGTCTACAGAATTGACTAGGTAGCAGACGGAATGAAAATTGAATAAATTAATAAACAGTTATAACTCAAGTTAATGAAAAGAAGTACACTGTATATGAAAAAAATCAAAGTTACAAGTTAAAATAAAATTTTTTACAAAAATTAAGAAGTAAAATCGTGAATTTTGTGAAGTACAGAAAAAAAAATCTAATTACTTGTAAAAGAGTTTAGAGAAAATAAAAACATAAACAAAAATGAATTATTGTAGAAGTTAGTTTGTAAATTTTTTAGATTTTTTAAAAATTTCGGTTTTTTTTACCGATTTTATAAATTAAATTTATTTTTGTGGAAAGTTAAACAGAATATTTGACAACGCACAGAAGGGTGGGCCATGAATTAGCAATTTGCCTTTTGATGGGTTAAGTCCATTCTCAAAAAGAGAAAATAGGCATGTTTGTTTGAATTGTGATTAATATATATTACAGTAAGTAAGTTACTTATTTTGAAAGTGACAGACAAAATTTATTAACAACTTTTTCATAATAGATAGAATATTGATCTTACTAAAATTTGTTTGCGCACACGAATGATGGTTACACTACACACCATGCCTGGTCGCATTCTCAGTCGTGTGAACCAGATCAATAATTTTTTTTTAATTGTTCACTGAATTTTTATAATCCAAAATATTCTTAATCCAGAATAACTGATTAATTTATTAAAAACAGTTTCTTTTATTTGCACAGGTGGAGGAATGATCTTAAAACATGGTATTTCACTTTTTTTTTTCTTTCACATTTCACATTTCTTTTCATTAATTCATATAAAAATTATAATATTATTTTTTTTCCAAAATTTTAAATTAATAAATTTATAGTTTTTTATTATTCAATTTCTTATAAACGTGAAATTCAGATTTCTTTTTCTTCAATTCCTCACAATTAGATTCTTTATAATATATTGCAAAACTTTTCTTGAAAATTGAAGTATTTTATTCATAAATATCTTATTCGTATTATTCTTCTCCTATACACATCACAAGAAAAAATTAGATTTAATAAATCAGAGTTAATGATTACAAGACAAAATATTATTACACAAGCTCCAAGTTAATCAAACTTCTAGAGCAATAGTAAATGTATAATTAGTAAATGTAAACGGGTAATGACATTTGTGCTTGTGTTACTTTTTTATCTTTTATATAGTAAAATATATATTTTTTTTCCAACTTGAAAAACATCTATGAAAGACTGTCAGCTCGGATTGATGGAATTCGATTTCATAATAATTCAAATTTAATATTTTAAAATTTATGTATAACCATTTAATTTATCGAATTAATTAGATTATTTGGATTGTAAGTTAATTCGGTTAAATTTTTCAAAAATCAAATTTATATTATTATCTTTTTAAAAAAAGGCATTTTTTGTTTTGAATAAATAACGAAAATATAGTAAATATTTAAATAAAAAGATATATGTATAACTTTAATAATAATTTTATACAACTTATCATTAAATTTTTAACATAATAATATTGTATTCATAAATTGATATAAGTTATTAATAAATAAATTAATAAATTTATAAATATTAAAATATAAATTTGGGTCGAGTGAAATATTCATAAAATTTCAAGTTGATATCCAAACCTAATCATATTCATTTTACTCAATTTTATTTATTTATCCAATCCAATTTTACTGTTACTCAAATTTACTTCAAATTTGGTTTAATACCTCTTGTGGTCCCTCGAAAGGGGGTCAATGTTCAAATCGGTCCTACCTTTTTTTAGAAATTCAATGTGGTCCCAACTTTTGTAAAAAGTGTACAATCAAGTCTTTTTTGGAAACGGCGTTGAGTTTTTAATGGAGCAGCTGACAGGGTGGACTGAAATTAGCTACGTGGTTGTGTGTGGGTAATACGTGGCTGTGAGAGGGTGATTCATGGCTGTGAGAAGGTAAATGTGATAATATTACTGAGGTTAAGAAATCAGAAGTTAGGGTTTGAGGAGTTATAGAGAAATTGGTAATTTGGGATTTATCATCGTGGAGGAAGTGTGTTGAAATCTGAAGCGCGAATTTGATACTGCAAATCTGAAACTGAAATTGGAAACCACAAATCAGGTTAGGGTTTATGTTTGATAAAGAAGTTACACTACAATAACTTCTAAACTTATGCATCCCCATCAAAACATGAATCAAAACAACTTAAATAATAAATTCCAAATAGAACTTAATTTTCCCCAATTGAAAAGCAAAAGCATGCATCCAATCGGGAACCCACAGTTACTGACTTATTCATACAAGTCAATATCAAATGCAGTAGCTTCTGGTTCAGTTTCATAAAGTATATTTCATCCAAAAAATATAAAACAAAAAAGGAGTAAATATGTACATAATTTATTTACGTGTTTTGTGCTGAATTTTACTTAGCATATCTTAATTAATTACATCAATAATCCAAGAATAAAATACAGTAGTTGGTCATAGAAAAATCACCAATTATTTAATTGGTGGTGTCGCTATTATCAGCCGGAGATGCAGATGCAGACGAAGATGCACTTTTGGGGGTAGAAAACGGCAAAGACGACGGCGGTAGAAACACCAGACTTTTCGTCTGTGTATTATTCGCTGGCGTTTTGTTCAAGAAGCTCGATGCACAACCATTGACTTTCGAAGTTGAACAAGACAAGGTAGAAGATGAATTATTAGACGCTGCAAACACCTCACCACAGTAACAAGTAGGGATTATCCCACCTCCTCTCACACCACAACCATGGGACCACCGAGAAGATCCTTTGCCCCAACTTCTCGAACACGACGAACACCCTTCAGAAGAAGCCATTCGTATCTCAAACACCAATTTCTCTGCAACTCCTCAAACCCTAACTTCTGATTTCTTAACCTTAGTAATATTATCACATTTACCCTCTCACAGCCACGTATCACCCTCTCACAGCCACGTATTACCCACACACAGCCACGTAGCTAACTTCAGTCCACCCTGTCAGCTGTTCCGTTAAAAACTCAACGCCGTTTCCAAAAAGGACTTGATTGTACACTTTTTACAAAAGTTGGAACCACATTGAACTTCTAAGAAAAGGTAGGACCGAATTGAACATTGACCCCCTTTTGAGGGACCAAAAGAGGTATTAAACCTTCAAATTTTTTTGAGTTCGATCGGATTGAGTGTATCACTAATGCTGCTATAATTTTGGGGGTCATCTCCAGCATCCATTATTCTTCTGTCTGTCATATGATAAAATAAAAGTATGTGTTCTATTTGAGGTAGGATTTTTGGGTTTATGTTTGACAGGTAAAGAATACATTTAAATAGTTTTAGTTTTAATGTCGATTATATATATACATACATATATATATATATATATATATATATATATATATATTTAACTCAATCTGACAGTGAAAAAACATGCAATAATAGTTACATATTCGATCTAATAATTGAACTTCTAACGTCCAAAGGCCTATTTAAATGAACTATGGTGTCGTTTTAAAATCCAGGGTTTGAATTGCTTTAAACTATCATCAATATTATCTTTCTCTAATTTAGCTACATTTTTTGTGAGAAAAAGTGATTGCACCATTAAGTTACGATTAATACATCAATTATTTACTTAAATTAAAGTACTTTATGAATTTCACCCACTTTATCTATTATATATAGATTTTTAGAGTGTATTTTTTTTTCAAGAGTTGTGAAAAATCATTCTTTACCATATCTATATATAGAAATCAAAGAGTCCTCATCCAATGAGAATGTAACTTCTCAAAAGTGGAAATAATGATAATTAAGAGAATCAAAGTAGATAATTTTAATGATTTATTGTCGAGTTGTTGTAAAAATTGAGAAGAGATAATTGGTAAATGATCGTTTAATACTTGAGTCCAAAAGAATTCAAAGACAATACTAAAATATAATTGTAAAGTTAGTAAAAATAATTGAGTATACTTTCAAATAAATCAATGTATTTATAGAAATTTGAATTCCTTAATTAAGGTTAGAGAAGATAGAGTTAGTTATTTGAATTTTTTTCTTAAAATATATTTTAAGGAGTTAGGAAATTGTATTTAAATTGTCATTTACTTAAAACTATTGAGAATAAGTTTCTAATCGAGGTTGAAGGATATCTATTTCCTTAAAAAACAAATGTTTGACTTTGAAATATTGTTTTTAGGCTTAATTACCTACTTAGTCTCCATGTTAGGAGGTAATTTTCTGTTTAGTACCCAGTTTTAAAAGTGTAGGTATTTGGTACCTATGTTTTGAAATTTGTATCAATTCAATCCTATCCAGTTAACGGCGTTATAATTGATGCGAGAAATTAAGGACGTTAATGATAGCCTGGGTGGAATAACTATCAAATGTTTGAATGCATCTTCATTAACGTCCTTAATTTCTCGCATCAATTATAACGCCGTTAACTGGATAGGATTGAATTGATACAAATTTCAAAACATAGGTACCAAATGCCTACATTTTTAAAACCGGGTACTAAACAGAAAATTACCTCCTAACATGGGGACTAAGTAGGTAATTAAGCCTTGTTTTTATTATCATACATTAGTATAAAAATAGAGTACAACATCGAATATTTTTGGCTTTTAACGACGCATTCGAGTTCGACGTCACAGCGGGAGACGTAAGTTTGAGGTCGAATATAAAAAATTCGACAGTCGTCGAATTTTATCAATATTCGATGTTAATTAATTTTTTTGTTTTTTTAATTAATTGTGATCCTCTTTTAAAACTCTACAAGACTTAAAAAGCAAAAAAACAACATATTT